GGCAGGCCACTTCTTTTGAACGGCAGGCTACCTTTTGTGGCCGGCCAACCACTTTTGTCAAATTGAGCAACAACTTTTTGGAGCAGAACAGAGCAGAGGCTGAGGTGAAAAGATGTTCCAACTGTGCAACAAGCAGCAGAACAGTGGGCTTTTCGGGTGGAAATCTGCGCATGCATGAGCATTCCTCACTTCCCGAGGCTGATTAGTTAGCTTAGTTACTTCTTTCAAGTTGTAATTAATTAGTTGCAATTAATTAGTTAATTCTAATTTATAATTAATTAGTTAGTTCCATAGTTAATTAGTTAATTGGTTTTGTAATAACTAGCTAGCATAGTTAGTTTATTTGGTTTATAATAATTAGTTAATTTGTTTTGTAATATCTAGTTAATTAGCTTAGCTAGTTAATTTATTTGGACCCTCCTGCGAGAGGGTACAGTTGTAATAATGTGTATGTCTTCCAATCCCACGTTTTTCTCCCTTTTATTTACTTGCTTATGATGGTTTGTTTTAAGGCATCATGTTTCGCTTAGCATCTCTCATGCTTTGCATCCACTTGTCTTGAATGCATTAAGCTTGGTGCATCATTCTAACTTACATTGTAGTTAAACATTCTTTGAATACGTGCTTAGACTGCATACTATCAAATTGAATCATATGCCATATTAGTAGCCGAGCCTAGTAATTACATATTGTATGTGTTGCATTAGTCATATTACATAGTTAGGATCGTGCAATATTCTAACTCTGTCATCTTTCTTTTTTTTTTTTTGGCTTAGAATACTAGGTGAGCTTTTATTTGTTTTAGCATATTGCATGTGTTAGTATTGCCATGTCAAGGCATGTTCACCATGAGGCTAAATGCTTAAGTGATAAACTGTTTAAACGTCTGTAGACAAAGGCTAGTTGCTTGAATTGAAATCGTTTGATTAATGTACATTTGAGCCTACTTTTTCAAGTGGCACATTCACAAACTCTTTTCAAAAACAAAACATGAAATCAAGTGTTCCAATTCTTACAAATTAGTCTATATTTGCGTGCGCATCACATAGTAATGCTAGCCTAATAATCTGTACAAGAGCATATAATGTAAATAAGATTCACATCATGATTAGCAGAGGCCGATCTTTGATCGGGCGAGCGAGGGTGCTCAATTCATAACCTTCCCCTCTCGTACCTAAGTTCTCAAGCCAAGACAATCTTGGTGATGACGGACACGTGGCCTTTAGCACGAGTCATGGGTTTCCTAAATTTTTCAAAAATATTTAGGTGGCGACTCTATATCTGGCAAAACAGTTCATTTTTGACAATTTGATTTAAAATCGATTTTTCAAAAGATTTGTCAGATTTGTACTCTTTAGTGTTTATCTATTTCACATTGCACTTGTGAGATCAGATTCAAAACTGCGGGAGTCCGAACTATAGGGCTAGTCGTCTTCAAAAGGAGCACGAAAGGTCGAGTTACATAACACCACAATGAGTTATAACTACGATATAACCAACACCACAACAGATCAAAATAAAAAATACAAAAGTTATAACTAAGCATGAGTTACATACCCAAATTTGAGTGTATATTATAGAATTTTCCAGGCCTTGGTGTATGTCTTTTTAAGGATGAGATTGTCATAAAAAAGCCTCAAATTTTTTCCTTTTTTTTTTTTTTGGTCTTTAATAACTTTTTTTACACTAACAATCTTTATAGTTTCGGACTTGTGTTATTTTGGTCCCTGACTTTTCAATTGTGATACATTTGACTCTGAATTTTAATTCTCGTTCCAAATAAGTACAGTTGAAGACATTGTTACTTCATTTGAAAGATAAAGTCATCATACAACCTATTTTGTATTAGTTAACTTATATGTTATTTGAAATATAATGGCATTTTTTTAATGAATAATGTTAGAATTTTTTTAGTTATAAAGTTCTGTTTAGTTTGGTTTTCAAAATCTATTTTCAGAAAGAATTTCTAAGAAACTGAAAATTAAATTGTTGAAAAAAATTAAAAACACATCATTTTTATATAATTTTATCTTTTGGGAGAGTAGAAATAATTTTTTAAAATAAACTTTTTTTGATATTTAATTTCATTAAATTAGTTTTATTTTTTAAAAAAATCAAATATAACGATAACTTTGATGCTATTATTAAACAAATCCATTAAATAAAAAAATTAAAAATTAAAAACATTTCATATATTAAATATATTGATTATATATTAAAAATCTAATATCCATCCATTATATGATAACCATCAAAAAATATCAACGAAAACAACCATGCATTACATGATCATCATCCAAACACATACTAAAAATTAATTTGGGAAAAAATGTAAAAGATTTATTATTTTTATATAATTTTATCTTTGGTGAGTAGAAATAATTTTAAAAAATTTAAAAATAATTTTTGACATTTATTTTTGTCAAACTAATTTTTATTTTATCAAATTGACGACTTTACCTTGAAATTGTGTAAAAATGTTTTCAATTATTCTTATTTGGAACGAGATTCAAAATTTAAGATCAAATGTATCACAATTAAAAGGTTAAGGACCAAAGTCACACAAGTTCTAAATTACAAAGACTGTTAGTGTAATTCGTCCTAATTGTTTTTTCAAAATTATGTCAAATTTTTTTAATTTTTCCGGCCGTCTCGCATAGACAAATCTAAAAAATATATTTTTTAAAAAAATTTCAAAATAATGAGAAAGCCAAAAAGACTTCACTTTTTTTTTTTTTAGCTTACTTTTGTCTTTTCTAGACTTTTTTTAAATTTGGTGGGTCGTCTCATCAAGTTAAATTTAGAAACTTAAAATTTTTTAATTTTTTTTAAAAATATTCAATAAAAATGAAAAGAAAAACCAAAAACATAACCACCAAATAAACAAACCTCAAACATCCACTATTGCATTTAAGCAATTGATTATTGATTTATGAAGTCAAAGTGGTCCTTGACGCGTGAAACATGCTCGAGGGTTAATTTCTATAGACATGAGTGAGGACTAGCTTAGTTTTGTAGGCTTCACATTGCAAATATGAGAGAAGTTATTTGGTGATATTGGCATGGCGATGTGGTGTTTTTTAAATTTTGTATAGAGAATAAGGTGGAATTCATGATTTTATGTTGAGTAATTGAGAAATAGCAAGGAATATGATGTATGATGATTAGTGGGGAGTATAGACAGGCGGCATCCATGAAGTACCAAATAATTTTTCCAAATATGGGATCTAACCAACTATGTTGTCTCATAATCAATTCTTAAATTTTCCTTTAGGAGAGGAGAAAAAAAAAAGTTCATAAATTGATGTAGCTTCCATTATCATATCAATTTTAAAAATTTTTGACTAAATAAAGCATACAAGATGAACAACTTACATCACTAAAATTAGATTTGTAATAGACTCCAAAGGTCCGAACAATATCTTTTAATCCAAAAATTGGACTGGAGAGGATTTTTCCTTGCTTCAACTTTTTTTAAAGTTCATTTTATTTATGGTCTCTCACTTACTAACTACTTGCCCTATAAGTGAATTTAAAAAGAGAAATGTTATTGTGGGGATATATTTTCTGAGTACCAACACGTGGCAAGGTGACGCCGACGTGTCAGCCGAGGTGCCACGTGTCCTGGTCGTGACGCCGAGGTGATCTCGGCAAGGCCGAGGTTATCTCCAAAGATATCGGAATCCAAGATAAGAGGATAAGGGACAAGAGTCCTAAAATAAAGAGGGAACTCAACTTGGATATGGACAAGAGTCCTAGATTGGAAGAAGACTTCAGTTTGGGTAAAGATAAGACTCTTAGAGAGTTTATCCTAATCCCACTAGGAGGGAGTCCCAGATTAGCGTAATCCTAAGTCCATTAGGCCAGGCTCCTATTGGGGCTAGGATTGTATTGGCTATAAAAGAGAAGCACCCCCATGGCGGTAAGGTATGCTTTTGATACTCAAGCTTGTGAGTTTAGTACTTGATTTATCTTTGAGAGATATACTGACTTGATCGTCGGAGTGCCTCCGGGTGCTCGAAACCACCGCGGATTTCTTATATTTCTGTTACAGGTCAGTCAGGTGCCATCTTATTCTGCCAGTGCTCTCCAGCTGGTTACTAAGCGGGCAGTGTGGTCGGAAAATCACCCACCACAATTTGGCGCCGTCTGTGGGAAAGAAAGAAGAATATATGGCCAATGACGAACAGAATGACTAGATTAGAGACTACGCTCCTGCTGGGAGTGGAAGACCTATTGTATCTCGACGTTGAAGGGGACAATAGCAACACAACACTCGTGACCAGAGTCACGGAGTGAAAGAAGCCGGCCAGGAAGGTGACGCACCAAAGACAAACAGATCGAAGCAACGAAGACGACCTCCAGGTATGAAAGGATAGATACCTGCGGAGGAACGAAGACCCTTCTAGAAGGGATGCAA